TAGATCATATCAGCAGACACAAATATTACTGAGTTTTCACTTGGTTGCATTATGTCCACCAGGTTTCTCCACTGTCCAATTACCGCTTTTCCTTTGCAATTAATATGTAATTTGTGGGGAGACACTTTGGAACTGAAAATGTCTTGTTTCTCATTAAACTTTCACCCCACAGTGGTTGCACCCTCATTCGTTCTTCCACATTCAGTCGTTGGCTTTATGCTCTAAAGAAGCGCTTCCTTTCCCCCTTGTCTTTATTTTTCATTTGCATTAGTTTGAACTCATAGATTCTTATTTTATTCAAGGAGTTACATTCCATTCTGTCGTTAATTGTTTTGACTCTTGAATGATTCTAGATCTGTCCTGTGGAGCCCCTACCAACTGCTCCCCTGCCTTGTGATATGTTTTCATCATTCCTGGGGAATTTCTTACTTTCTGGTGTAACAAGATGCCCTAAGTCCTTCCTTGCCCCAGCCCTGGGCTCTCAGCCTTTTTCTAAGGGGCCCTGACTCCCTTTCCCGGTGAATGGTATTTAAAATCAAGATCTGGGTGTGCTCATTGCTCTACTGTGTCATTGGTTCTAGATGCTCTCAGGTCTTTATCTCTCAGACTGAGCTAGGGTGTGTGTGTGTGTGTGTGTCTACGTCTATGTCTAAATTAAAGTTCTATATCTAATTTAAGAGTTCATAGTCATTATTCCATTTCAAATCCAGCACCCCAGGATTCATCCCAGTCCTCCATCTTGATAACTCCCTTCTCCAACAGTGAAAAACTTGGCTTCATGATACCGTTTTATATCCCTAGCATCTTGTCCAAACCCTGGCAATAAGTGATAAATATATGTTTTAAGGATTGAAATCAGGGGTGGGGAACCTTTTTTCTGCCAAGGGCTATTTGGATATTTATCATTTGGATAATAACTTCATTCGTGGGCCATACAAAATTATCAACTTAAAAATTAGCCTGCTGTATTTGGTCAAACTTTTAATGAACCCACCCTTAATGCCGTGGCAGGGCCAGACCAAATGATTTCACGGGCCCTATATGGCCCATGGGCCAGACGTTCCCACCCCTGATTTAAATGAAAGAGTAAATAAAATAGTCATGGAGTTATCTCTGTAAATAGCCACACTGCTGTGACCAATGCCTAGCCTGACTTAGATGTTGAATAAAACTTTGGCAAACAAATGGTTCTCTCCGACATCTTCATTTTATACTTTTGAACCAGATGAAACATGACTCCATATGAGTACTCTTGTGTGTGCATTTTTTTTTTACCATTTAAATCATAAAACCAGATAAATTATTCAATGAATATGAAGTCTTTTTTTGCAATAAGAAAAATTAGTAAATAAACTTGCAACATAAATAAGAAAAATAGTTCCTTTGTTTTGCTCAAAAGAAACCCCTGGAAGTGGGCAGCGCCATTGAACAGGTTTCAGTATTTCTAATTATAAAACTTGCAGCCAGCAGAGTCTGTCTGGCACATTTTTCACATTTGTCAGCCCTGGCGATGTGAAATATGTTCTTCATCTGAATTCTCTTCCTATCCCCCCTGCTGTCAAGGCAGAAAGAATTTCCACTTCCCTGCTGCTTATTATTAAGCTCTTCTAAGCAAGGATGCTTGAAGATAACTTATGAGCCAGGGACTAGAAATTTCTGATAACCTTAAGACTCATGGCCAAATCATATGATTAACTTGGAAACCTCAGGAAATGTGGTCTATTTTTCTCTCTGATGTAATTAAAACGAACAGCTTCTTGCTCATAAACTCCTAGTTTATTCTTAGAAACTTGCTTAAAAACTATTTGCTTTTGCTATTTACCTAAGGAATGTTCCATATAGCATGTGCATTGTAACTTCTAATACAGCATTCCAAGAAATAAGGTATTTTACTAAACGTAGAACAAAGTCTTCAGTTCAGGAAGACTTTTCCACAAAATTGGCTTGGGATTAATTTTTGTTTGAAAGAAGTTTTCCTGCAACATAGCTTCTTTAGCCCTTTATGGGAACATCTATTGAAAAATGTTCCCCCACGCTTACAGGGGCAGTGCCAGGAGTCTGCATCTCCCACAACGAATAGAAAAATCATGACATTTAAAGCACTTCAGTCTTGAAAGCCTTTTCTATTTAAAGAAAAAGACCAAAAAAAGTATCACTTTACATTCATCAACTTTTTCCCCGCGATTAAATGATTGAAAGCAAAGTTTTATGGCTTCATATCTTTTAAGTATAGACATATAAAGCTAAAATCCCCAAATTGTCACTTAAAAAATACTTTGGGAGTGGTAGTGTTGTTATATCAGATTCCCTGATGCTGATTTTGTTTTATTGTTCCAGCATCAGCCTATATTACTGATTTTTCACACACACACACACACACACACACACACACACACACACACACACACGGTATTAACTAGTAAAGGCAGGTATACTTGCCAAATTTCTAAAAATGTCTCTGTACTTTTAGCCGAAGTTCTGTGTTTGTTTCTGTTTGAGTTTTCACTTAAGGGCCCCCTGTTGTGTTTTATGATAATTCAGTGTTTTCTTTGAGGAGTACAGACATCCCAGGAACATAACCCACAGGAGATGTAGTAGTCCTTCATGTATATTCATATGTGACATGTTTATATATAGTTGAATGAGCATCATGGAGGGATAACTAGGCCATTAGCATTAATTATCTCATGGAGTGGGATTGAGAAGGATTATTAACTCTTTCTTTATCATTATATTATTATTATTATTATTATTATTAGAAATCCAGGGAGGGGAAGTGGTTTGGCCCAAGGTCACGCAGCTACAAGTGGGATCAGATTTGAACGGGTACCCACCTTCCCTGAGTCCCAGCAGGCCAGACGGGCGTCTGGGGACGAGAGCTCCCGCCGCTCCACACCGAGCTCTGAGCCGCGTGCAGCACGCACACTCTCAGTTTGGAACTGCCATTATCCTCACTTTCCAGACGGGAAACTGAAGCCCAGCGGCGACGGGACCCGCCCAAGGCCACAGGCTGGTTGTTGGCCGGGCGGAGTGGGTGGCACTGGCATTTCCCACCTTCCCTCTCCTGCCCATCTGTTCTGAAATCTCCAGTGCCCAGCCCAGGGCCTGGCACACTGGAGGCGTGGGATGGGATGTGCCCGCAACCAAGGTACATGCCCTTGACCGAAATCGAACCCGGGACCCTTGAGTCCACAGGCCGATGCTCTATCCACTGAGCCAAACCGGTTAGGGCTCATCTATCACTTTTGTTAGTAAAGAAATCTAATAAATAGAAATTGAAATCAATCCGTAGCTTTGTGTATTTAGGATTCTTTTTTAAAAAACTTAAAACAGTGAAGTCAGGTAATAGATTTTTTCATAGAAGAAAAATACAGATTATCTGGCTACTGATTGGCTCAACTCTAGTATTTCTAATACCTTCACATTCTTCAGTAGCAACATCTATACAAAAAGTTACATCTCAAAGATAATTTTTAGATATGCTTTCCTTAAGATCCAACTTTTCTAATGCTCATATTCTTGATTCACATAATGTTAAACATTTTTCATCTTAGTTTATTTCAGAAATCTTTTGTATTTAGCAATAAATTGACTAAACTAGTATATTCACCAATGAAAGATGAATATTGTTTCCATGTGAAACCAAGGCCAATAAATTCTCACAGTGCCCTTTATTTAATTAAGACTCAAACCTTCTTTTGCCAAGAAATGAATTGCTTGGTGTAATTACAGTCTTCTTTTTTAAAGGGAACAAAATTAATTCTCTGCATTTTGTGAATTTTCATAAGTTTTCTAAGGCTCTGAGCCTTCAGTAATTCCAAATAAGTGCAAATGCCCTTGTAATTTTCCAACATTAGGGAGCCTCAGGCCCTAAGAGGTGGTTTGTTTGTTTTAAATCACAGGTACTAATAAAAGAAAAATATTTTTGAATGTAAATATTTACTGGGAGTTTCTTAATCATAGGTTTCACATAGCACTAACAAAGCAGCTCTTCACATAAAATATAAAAATTAGTCAGTTGAAAACGTCAGAAAAATGTCAGTAACAATTTGAGTGTATTTGGGATTGAGAAAACAAAATACTAATCCTTTTCTTAGTTAAGGTTTGTTATATATAATCAGTTGCTCTTGTAGCAAGCTTTTATTTTTTTCATTAAAGTAGCACCAAATTAATATCTTTTAAAGACCATGAGATTATAATCAAGATCTGATTCAAGCACTACATTTTTTTTTTATTAATCCTCACCTGAGGATATTTTTCCATTGCTTTTAGATAGAGTGGAAGGGAGGAGGGTGGAGGGGGTGGGGAAGAGAGAGAGAGGAACATCAATGTGAAAGAGACACATCTATTGGTTGCCTCCCTCCAAGCACTACATTTTAACAGGGGAATTCTTTCTCTCTGAGGAGCTAGCAAAGCTTGTAAAAACCATGACCATTTGATCTAATAGCTCATGATAGTTTTAAAGATTAGTTGATTCAGGCTATAAGAGAACAAGATAAATTATACATGATGAAACAACTATAAAGAAAAATAGAGGGATCTTATCTTCTCCTTGATCTTTTCTATATTCTGAGAGATGTAACTTACAACTGAATATACATAGTAGCTTTTCAAATGAAACTATTAAGGTTAAGCCTGCATGAAGAATTCTGATACTATTACTATAGCTCTAAATGAAAATGAGATGATTATCAGGTCAAAGGAAATCAGTAGTTTGCTAGTTTTTGGAGGGGGTGAAGTGAAAATAGACAGAGAGCATTGGGGGCTGATAATGGGATGGGACTGTGGATCCTTTAGCTTGGGCCTTACATTCATGGAGGGCCTTAAATTTAAACTTTTAATATTATCCCCAATTAAGGTTTATTTACAGTTGTATGTTTTTTGTTTTCTTTTTGCCTCTGTGTTAACTATAAAATGTACTATGAATTATTCTAACTATAAAACGTACCATGGATTATTCTAACTATTTTGGCTTTTTTCTTTCCTTTTCTACATACTAGGAGCCTAGGAAGAATGGAAATGGCGGGAGCATCTCTTGACCTCTCCGAGGAGCAGAATATTTTAGGTAGGAAATGGCATCAGAAAACACTAACTAGATGCCTGCTATAAGGAATTCAAATGAAAAGTGTTGGATGTCGCTGTTGTACTTTAAGATATGTATGTGCTTCTAAAGTTTGCCTGGAAGGAAAAATATGTGAAAACATCCAGGCAAATTCTGAAAAGGAAGTTCCTAAGGGAAACTTGATGTAGCAGATAGCAAAATGGGGTAACATACCTACCTCTTAGGGTTGTCATGACAACGAAAAGGTATTGTTCAGTTAAAATCTTTGGGAGAGCCCGAGCCAGCTTGGCTTAGTGGATAGAGCGCCAGCCTGCGGACTGAGGGGCCCTGGGTTCGATTCCATCCAAGGGCACATGCCTGGGTTGCAGGCTCAATCCCCAGTGGGGGGGTGGTGTGCAGGAGGCAGTCAATCAATGATTCTCATCATTGATGTTTCTATCTCTCTCTCCTTCTCTGAAATCAATAAAGAAATGTAAAAAAAAATCCTCGGAAGAGCATCTGACAGAGAACAGTTTTTTCTCTTTTTGAGCATGCAGTATTTTTCCTTTATTCAGAATGGGCAGATTTTGCTAGCAGTCCCCACACACATGTAGTAATAGTGTAAGACACGCATGGGAGTGCAAGCCCCCAATTCAGGGCAGCGGTGACCTCCTTGGAGGGGAGAGAGGGAATAGGATCCAGAATGTTCCTCTTGGCTTGTGGCGTCAAGGGGCCCCGCTTGCCTTGTAATACTCTATTTTTTTAAAAAGGCAAAATTTAAAGATTTTTCTAAGCTGGAAAGCAAGTCCATGGATACTCATTACTCAAACCCAACAGGACAGGGTTCTTTCTAACATCTCTCCTTTTCTTATTTGTAACTTTTCCCCCCAGCATGAGAGAAAAGAACCTGGCTCGCATTATCTCTAATATGTTTACTTAACTCGTTCAAACCTAGTAGACAGATAAAGCAGTGGTTCTAACTGGGGGCAGTTTTGTCTCCCAGGGGACGTTTCTGGCATTGGCTGGAGATGTTTTTGGTTGTCCTCAATGTCCTACAGTGCACAGGACAGCCTCCAGAAGAAAGAGGGACATGGTCCAAAATGCCAGGAGTGCCAAGGTTGAGAAAGAAACCTTGACACAAAGTCATCTCACTAGCCAGTCCCCCCGTGACAAATAAATGTACTAACTCCAATATAATATTTGTGTACAGGTCTTTCTTCAGTCTTACAGTATTTACTCAAAACAGTGTTGTCCATGTTTATTAGGGTCAGTTCTTTCCCCCTCCAACAGACTTAGGTGATTGATGATACAGTCAGGATCATCTGTTACTGTGTTTATTTCAGTTTGGGGTCTTATTTATTTGTTGTTGTGTGAGCGTGTGGAACATGATTCTGAGAGTCAGAGCAGGACAGAAAGGGACACAGAGAAGTGGGGGAAATTGTTAAAAGTTCTCCACGTGATTCTGATGTTCGCCTGTTTTCAGAACCACTGGTCTAGCTCATGGGCTTTGAAGTGAGACCTGAATGTAACTCCAGTTTCCTACCAGGTATGTAATGTTGGGTAAGTTACTTGCCCTCCCTCAGCCTCCAACTCCTACTCCTAAGGATTGTTGTGAGGACGTAGAATATATATGGGATGTTCATCACAGTGCCAGCCCGAAGGGGGGCCCCAGATGATCGCTGTTTCAATTCTTTCACGTACCCCTTTAGCAAATATTGTGTTGCTACTCTGTTCTGAGGCACTGCACTATGTCCTAACATGGTTCGTGCCTTTGAGCAGTTCACATTTTAGGGGGCTTATAGCGGTTTTGCAGAAAATGCAGTGACTATGTCTTTACATTGACATGCAATATAAGAGGTTCAGATAGTCATGATTTTCTGGAAGCTTTTCCCTAGAAAGCCTCACTAATGCAGACTGTGCACGTATCATGTGAACTATCAAGGCAAAAAAATATAAATAGATAGTTATGTGTCTCTGCCTCTCTCAAATGTAAGTCATTTCGGGCTTTTAAAAATGGCTATCAAACCATGTGAAGTTGAATTCTCAGGAGTGAGTACCTGCCGGTAAACGTTCAGTGTTCTCAGGTATGAGACATTTAAATGGTTTTATTATATCTGTGTAGAATGTCTCTACGCATCATCTGGGGATCTCGTTACAAAGCAGACTCAGTCAATAGTGTGGGGTGGGGCCTGGGAACCCACATTTCTAACAAGCTCCCAGCAGCTGCAGCTGGTTGAGGTCGCACTTTGAGTAGTAAGGGTTTATTGCACTGACTTTGAAAGCATGCTTTCTGGCTTTGAATCCCAGTTCTTCAACGTATCAGATGTGAGTCTGCTGTGAGGGACTGTTTTCACTCTATGTGTATATGGTACCTCGAGGTATTAGCTGCCGATGTCACCCTTTATAGCATTTGAACATTTAACAAAAAATGTTTTCATTGATTTTAGAGAGGAAGGGAGAGGGAGACAGAGATAGAAACATCGATGAGAGAGAAACATCAACATTGATCGGCTGCCTCCCGCACGCCCCCTGCCAGGGATGGAGCCTGCGACCCAGGCATGTTCCCCTGACCAGGCATGGAACCGGCAGCCTCCCAGCACATGGGTTGATGCTCAACCACTGAGCCACACTGGCTGGGCACATTTGAACATTTTAAATTAACACTCAGCACGGGAAAACAAACCTCTAACAACTGATGGGTAGAACTGAAACACAGTTTCCATAGAAGGCAGCTAAAGAGTCTCCTTTCACTTGGAGCCACGTGTTATCTGTGAGGGTTCTTTCTCCCACTAAAGCAGTGGTTCTCAACCTTCTGGCCCTTTAAATACAGTTCCTCATGTTGTGACCCAACCATAACATTATTTTCGTTGCTACTTCATCACTGTCATGTTGCTACTGCTATGAATCGTCATGTAAATATCTGATATGCAGGATGGTCTTAGGCGACCCCTGTGAAAGGGTCGTTTGACCGCCAAAGGGGTCGCGACCCACAGGTTGAGAACCGCTGCTCTAAAGCCAAGTACCTGAAGAAACTGAAGTTAGAACCAGACTCTCAAATCACTTCACCACAAGGGGTTAAATGAAGATTGAAATGCACACACACGTATAACACTGTTCTCACTATGTTAACATAATCACATAGTTTTAATGAAATAATTTTTGAACTATTAATAAATGGAATACTTACTTTAATATATTTACTTCATTGGCCCTTTTAAAATTTCCAATATGTGTGTGTTTGAATTTGCCTAATTTCTTGGTCTAGAAATACATTTCTGTGATTTACATTCCAAATGGGGGGTATGGATTACTTTACTCATGAGGGGTGGGAGAAAAAGGTGGTGATTCTACTGCCGTTGGCACAGAGAAGAGGACTTTGTTCTGAAAAAAATAATTGAGGGCGACGTTAATAGCTGTGGGAGGAAGGGCTTGTGGAGAAAGACCTTTCAGTGTTCCGTCTCCAGCTCAGATCACATTGCTGATACGCACATTCCTTTTCCGTCCCTCCTCTGTTTTTCCGATGCTGAGGGCAGGGAGCTAGGCGTGGGGAACCTGGATAGTGAGTGCTGGGGGGACACGAGACAGGAAGCCGAGCCATATTCGGAGGTTTATTAGATAACACCCCTGACGACAGGAGCAGCTGCCACACCTGATGGCCTGCTGTTAGATCCAGGTATGCGTGCATTCAAAAGGTTTATTGAGCACCTACTGTGCGCTTAAAAATTACCTTGGAAAAGACCACAGAGCCTCCAAACGTGCTTTCAGACAAAGCTGGCTCCAGTGGCTGTCTGAAGACGGTTAGATTGCTCTGGTGGCTGATACCTGCATTTCTTCCTTAAGGAGGATTAACTTAGTGCAGGAGACAACCAGCCCCACTGCGGCTGGCTGGGGGCCAGCTCTTTGAAGTTCCTTCCTCACACAGACTCACCCTGTCAATCCCAAAGGCAGAGGAAGCTGGCCTGCACTTTGATGTCAGGACGGCTCTGAGAGACCCTCTTAGGTTGCGCTGCCTTTGAAGCAGTGACTCAAGGCAATCTTTGCTTACACGGGGCCAATCATTTGACCTAGAAAGCCTAGAGAGAAAAACCCTTGGCCAAAAGGGACTTGGAAATAGCTACGAGTGATTGGAAACATCACGTCTCTACGGAGAGTTTCCAGAGAGATCAGTTGGAGTTAATCTGGTTTACCTAAAGGCGCAGGATTAGATGTTCAAAATGATTCCTTATGGGTATTTGCAGGTCGGTGGAGTGCGTCTCTGTGAATTCTTGGGGCAGCGGCTGCTTAACTGCAGACATTTCTGGGAAGAGCCAGTTTATCGATAAATGCACAACAATCCATAAACACAAAGTGTGCGGTTGAGATGTTTTTAAAAGCCAGCTGTAAAGGGTTTGGCGTGGGGAAAACAGCCACAGAAGCCGAAGGATCGGTTTCAGCGATGGCACCTTATCAGGTTTCTCCTGATGCCAGGTTAATGGGAACCGGGAGCCGAAAGCTGGAGCGGGTTACCCACGTGCACCTTGGAGTGTTGCTTGTTAAGACAGGCGCATTGTTGAAATATTTGTTTGAATACCTGAACTGCAAGCCCTTCTCTTCCTGGCTCTTGTCATCCCAGGGGCTGGCTGCTCACAGCATCTGGACATTTCCCAGGCAGCTGCCATTCAAAGAAACTTGTCCAGGTGTCTTCTGCTCCCACTGCTCTTCAATTCATAGCCAAAGCACTTGTTAGTTTCAAGCATGATAGTTGCCTGAACTAGGTAATCATTTATAAATGCCATATTGTCTTTTTGAAATTTAATCTTGTTTTATTCATCTATCTATTTATTTATTTATTCAATTTATTTAAACAAAAAAAAAAAGTTCTCCCACTGTACCCCCCCACCTCTGGCAACCACAAACCTGTCCTCTGTATCTTATTTATGCGTGGATTATTTATTTAGATTTTTAAGTTCACATACAACAGAGATCATATGGTATTTGTATTTGTCTAACTTATTTCACTTAGTGTGAGGCCTTCAAGTTCCATCCATGTTGTCACAAATGGAAAGATTTTATTCTTTTTTTATGGCTGAATGATATTCCATTGTATGAGTGTGTGTATACATACTTACCACAGTGTTTTTATCCACTCATCCATTGATGGACATTTAGATTGTTTCCATATTTACTATAAATAATGCTGCAGTGAACATGGGGTACATATATCTCTTTTAGTTAGTATTTTCATTTTCTTTGGGTCAGTACCCAGAAGTGCAATTGCTGGACCGTATGCTAGTTCAGTTATTATTTTAGGAACCTCCATAACATTTTCCATAGTGGCTGCACCAATTTACATTCCCACCAACTGTGCACAAGGGTTCCCTTTTCTCCACATCTTTGCTAGTACTTGTTATTTCTAGTCTTCTTGATAATAGCCATTTAACAGGTGTGAGGTGATATCTCATTGTGGTTTTGATTTGCATTTCCCTGATAATTAGTGATGTTGAACGTCTTTTCATGTACCTGTTTGGAAAAATCAGATGATCTGCCCATTTTTAATCAGATTGTTTATTTTTTTGCTGTTGAGTTGTATGAGTTCTTCATATACTTTGGATATTAGCTCCTTATCAGATATATGATTTGTAAATAGTAGGTTGCCTCTTCATTTTGTTGATGGTTTTCTTTGCTTTAGTATCTATAAATATCGCATTAGTCTTGTTTTTTATATTTTTATGTTCAAAATAATGATATCTTTAAGAATAGAAAGAGAGCTTTGTCCTAATTTGGCAGGTTGGAATGGGGTTAGAGGTCAGAATAACAGAGGCCTGACACTGCTGACCCGCCATCATTTGGTCGTTTCAGTCACTGATCTGAGTCACTAATCATGGGTTCCGATTGGGACGCTCTGGGCCCTTGGCTACAGATCCCTGAAGGACTTCATCCTTTTGCAAAGTGGATCTGCCTGAATGTTAGGAGCAAGTTGGCGTTTCATACCAGTTGCTTTATTTAAGACCGTTTCTGGGAGATGGTTTAGCTCTATAGAGTTACCCCAAATAGTCCCAAGATGGCCCTATTTAAGTTCCCGAATTCACCTCCAAGTGATGGGTGGGCAATGGGGAGAAAAGCCCTCTAGTAATTTTTGATTTTAGATAGACTTGCCACCCATAATAAGTATCCCATGTGAAATACAGGCTGGCTACTCCATGGATATGAATGAGATGGAGTAAAACCCTACATGCATATCATATGTACAAATATGTATTGAACAAACTAAAAAGTAAGGCTTTCAAGCTATTGCATGTGTAGTACAAGTAAATCTTAAGAAGTAAAGCATTTTTAAAAGTAAAGTTTTCAGAGGTATTTTTATTAAATGAAAAGAGTTAAAAAGTTCTACTTTTGGTAAATTTGTTTTCTAGAGCAAGAGAAAGCGGCGGGTGGGGCAGTATAAAAATGATAAAATTAGAATGTCCAACACAATGAGGGAGTCTTTTAAACTTTGAGTTTTTCGGTGTTTTTATCAGAAGATATTCTGATAACAGAATAAATTCAGCTGCACATTGAAGATAACAG